ATTTTTGCACATCAAAATACAACATGAAAAACGCAGAACAACAGATTACCGAAAGAGGAAAAAAAAACCAACCTGAGAAGCCGGATGTTCGATGAGGGGCATGGAAAACGATGATGAATTCGGTGGGTGATGCGAACAGAATGTTGGCACGCAGGTTCAAACCACCACCATAAATGGCCTCCCAGTCGCTCTCGATGATCTGGCTTGGATATGTACGGCGTAAATCATTCCGCAGCTTGTTCACATTCGAAATCCCACTGTTTCCTGCAAAAAAATTTAACATCCGAAATAAGGGGTTTGGGACAACTAGCTATTTCACAGAGTCTGGTTTTCCAGTTATTCAACTGGCAGCTTTTCCAGTGACGCAAAACAGTTGCTTCTATGAAACTTTCGAAAGAGAGAGCCATCGATAGCCTTGTTGTTGTTCAGCGATGAATTGTTGTTGCTGGCATGGCACTCGGGTTATTTTCGGGTGCCTTTTATAGTGAATAATTTGAGGAAAGAAGAAAATTTTGTACTGTGTGGTTGACCTGAAAATAATAACGCTACCCTCACAATGAGAAAGATAACACCGCGAACCATGCGCTGCGCCGGCCAACTGACGAAATATCTTCGGTGAAACGGTGTAGGTCTTCCATCGTAGCATGTACTGCACAACACCGGCCAGTACAAGCCCGAGGACCACGTAGCGAATTAGACGAGTGAAGAAAAAAGCCATTTTACTTGCGACGACGGCGGCGACGATTGATCCGGGTAAACAACACACACAACTCAGAGAGAAACAGCAACCTGAAATTCAATGAAAGAATAAGTAAAGTGAAAAAATAATGCAGAAAAATTGCACGAAATATTCGTTACTCGTCGCTGTTTATCATTACTAACTGATATTGGGAAAGATTCCGGAGACACCTATATATAGGACTATGGGCTTGGGGGACGGGGGAGGGGGGGAGGGTACAAGGAGAGGAAGAGTTTGCATCAATGACGAGAAGAAACGCGACAAGAAACAAAATATAACTGTTTTTGGACTCATAGCAAGAAAAACCTTGGTCCGTATAGTACTTGGGTATTTCCGGATGCCTATATATAGAGTTATGG